ATCATCTATCTATCTATCTATCTATCTATCTATCTATCTATCTATCTATCTATCTATCTATCTATCTATCTATCTATCTATCTATCTATCTATCTATCTATCTATCTATCTATCTAGTCCAAGCGCTCTGCTGTAGTAAGTCGTACAGTCCGGTTCGCTTCTAAAAAAAAAAAATAAAGCTCACGAGACAGTATGTCATATTTTATTTTTCTTATAGATATTCGTGCCAGTAGAGGCGCTATCCACGCTATGTTTTTGCTCTGAACCACTCACTTACAGGTAATTAATTGTGTTATATTAAATGTTCTGAGTTATGTCAGTTACGTTTGCACATTGTCTGTTGGTTGTCATGATGACACAACGTGCCTTATATTTTCTGTGAACCATCAGAGGGTCTTGTAGAGCAATTTAATAATTCATTTTAATTGCTGTCTGCATTTATTTATCTAATTTCTTATTCATTGAAAAAATGTATGTCAGGTTAAAACAGACTGTATTAGATTTATTGTAAAACATTAATGCTAAAACCACAATACAATCACATATTAAAAATAATATTGTTAAAAGTCATTGGAACAGATATTTGAAAATCATCACAGTCTTCCAAGTGCTCTGCTGTGATATTCGTGCCAGTAGAGGAGCTAATCACGCTATGTTTATGCTCTGAACCACTCATATACAGTAAAGTACTACCCCATCCAACCCATTGGCATCTGAGTGTTTATGACAGGACGGGTTACACAACTGTTACATTGGTGCCGTGACCTTGGACTTCAATCAAGCTTGTTGAACCGGTGACCATCCTGTCTGCCTCATCGTTTGAAGACATCGATTCAAAGTGGTTGTGGGTTCGTGCTCACAGCTGACACAGTAGCATCACAGTGGAGAAAAAAAATATTGCTGTACAGTGTGTCTCAATGACACGAAGATCTTTGTGTGCCATAGCAGTAATGTACCACACGTGCTACTGAATTTTTGTTGTTGTTGTTTTGATTTATTTGGTTTCAAATTGGTGATTTAATTTCCTATGGTGTTTTGGATTTTGAATGTCTATTCATTTTGAGAAATTCTGAACAATGTCTACTTGAAGTAACCATTTTTGGTCAGATACACCCATTGGTATTGGTAGAGGCAGGGGCATGCTTGCTCCCATTCCTTTTACTGTTGATAGTCTTACTCCGAGTGGTATTATGCCATCTTTAGATGAAATTCCTGGTGCCAGGGTACAGACCCCTGCTGACTATCATGCCAGAACACATATGCCTCATGTCACACACACCAAATCCTATTAATGACAGTTCTGAGTGTGTAGCTGCCCAGATGAAGTCTGTTATCCAAGAGATAGGACATCAGTTGGCTGACAGCATCATGTTATGCCTGCAGCCACATAACACCATTGCTCCCAATTCCACAACCACACAAACCGTAATGAGTACTATGAGTCAGTCTGGTTGTGTATCTGACATATCTCAGGTCCAGGTTGTCATGCAGTGAAAGGTCAAAGAGCCACCATGTTTTGTAGGTAACAGCTCAAACTCAATTACACTGTATGACTGGGAAGATCAAATGAGAACATTCATTAAGAACACTGATATAAGAACTGAAGAACAGGCTGACAAAATCCTTATACATTTGAGAGGAAGGGCTAAGGATGTAGTTAGGTTTGGGAGTAGAAATAGCAATGCTGACGTTAATGCTCATCCTGACATGATTTATGGCCTCCTCAGAAAACACTAGCTCTACTAAGTACTCTGCTGTCCCCTTAGCTGACTTCTACTTGACCTTGCAAAAAAGACCAGGAAGACCTATATGACTACTGGCTGAGACTAAACAGAGCAACTGACTTAGCCTCTGTCTGCCTGAGAGAGCAGGAAAAATCATTTTAAAATCCAGAGATGGAGGTGACCCATATGTTCATCAGGAATTGTCCCTGTAAAGACCTGGCTCTCACTTTCAGGTCCAAAACTATCGACAAATGGTCAGCGTGTGAAGTCCTGGAAGTACTGAATGAGTACCACACTGAAGTGAGCTACAAAAAAGCTTCCTCAATACATCATGAGATGACAGTGAACATTGCCCTGCATGGAGTAGAGGTGAACCGTGGACCGGCTCCTACTCACAGCGGTCGGGAACCTCCCACGACACATAGTACACAGTGTGTCTCCCTGGCAGAGGTGATGCCTGTGTTAGAGAAGGTTCTGATGCATGGAGTCTCGGACCAGTTGCAGGTGAGAAGGCAAGCTCCACCCAGGCAACCTATGGATGGTGCAGACAAAATCGATGGTTTCACTAATAAACCATGCCTTATTTGCAGAAGCGACAACCTTTTTTTTTTCCTATTAAAGACTAAATAAACCAAAATATTGCTGTTAATTTTTGACCATGTAACTTTACAAACGACACCCCATAGTACCAAAGCAAAAACCGTTCACTAAACTGTCTCAGTATCTGCATCAAAATTCAGGGGAATTCAAGACTTTTTTCTAAGAAACTGTTGGTTTCAAAGAAAAAAGTTTCTTCCCCTAAAAAGAGGCTTGGTGGTATTTTTCAGTGTAGAACTGAGACTCCTCGAGGCTTCTCCAACACAGCAAGTCAGGCTTGGTATGTTGTTTACTGACAGAGGTGCAGACAGAAGAGCACAATTTGAGAAATCAACGTGTTGATGCTAACACGTCATTATTGGGAAATTTGTGTGACCTTATTTGTAAGAAAATAAAGAATGCGTTGTTGCAGTGGAACAGAAGAGGTCAGTGTTTGTGAAAGGGTCTGGTGCTCAGATGTGTTTCCCACCCAGTCTGAGCAATCATAAAACAAGAGGATTTCCTGTAACTGGGGAGTTGTGGTAGTTTACTCAGTGCTGCTGCTGTCGTACCGAGGTGCAGCTTCAGCTGTGGAATCAGCTGCGATACGGTACAAAGTTCACCCTCCATGCAGGTACGTGTTTCAAGAATATCACAGTTGAAAGTTTAAACGCTGTATTTTTACCCCTTCTTGGAGTTATCTTACTGTGGACTGAGGCAAATGTGGCTCTTAAATGCAGGTCAAAATGAAGGGTGTGCATGGTTATTGTTGGCTCTTTTTGGCCCTTCTTGTGAGCTGTTCAGAACAAGCTAAGGTAAATACAAATTTAATGATTTCAGTGTACGTTTACATAAAGTTGCATATTAAAACTGTTCATTTTGGATTCCTAACACAGCCACAAGGCCCCTCTTCTCAAGGTAAGAAGGCTTTCATTCATTGTTTGTTCTGACTTTTAGTAACTGCATTTAATTTAGAGTTCACTCTTATCTTTTGTCTTTGAAACCTCAGGAACAGACTGCACACAGATTAAGACTAAATCACCTCGAGCAACAAGTGGAGAATATTTCATCAAGCCTTCTGGAGCGAAGACCCCCTTCAAGGTGCTATACCTGACTGGTTAAACAACTTCTACTTGTAGCTGAGAGTTCATTTTGAGAAAATTATTCAAAGTTGCTGCAGTAGAAAAGATCATAAAGTTGGGAGATGACAACTATATTTTAAAATTTACCAAATTAAGGGTTTATTAACTAGAAATACTGAAATATGTTTAACTGGAAACTCAATATTCATAAAGAAAACTACAGAGTTTTGGAATGATTTCACTCTTTATTTCCTGACTTATTCTTTCTTTGTCCCCCATCACAAAGTGAATTGTAAATATCCTCAGTATGTCCATGTTGTGAGCTGGATAACTTGAAAAAACAAGTGAGATAACAACTTTAATTCAGGTGTGTGGCTACATCTACGTGTAAGAAAGTTTCCTTTTGAACATTGGGTTGTCACGTCCAAATCTAAGTTGACTGCCACCATAAATGTCTGTCCGTTTTGTGAGGCGGACAACTTCAAAAATAAGCAACATGCTGATTTCCATGTTGGTGTTGCTGCGTCTAAGAAAAGTCACTATCAAAAATGGGTTGCCATATATGTATATATGTAAACCTTGTAAGTGTAATAACTTCAAAATTAAGCAACATGTTAACTTCTATTTTGCTGTGTGGCTGCATCTAGACATAAGAATCATTAAGGCTTATTTGCATTCTCTGTTCAATTCCAGTCCAGAAAAACACTTATCTTGAAAACTACAAACATTCACTATTCAAATCCCTCAGCGACGGGGACATCGGTGTACCGCCTGTTATCTTTGTCACACCCTAAGTTGACAGTTTTCTTGTGTTTTGTTTGCGTAATTGCAAGGCCTTCTTAAGCTTGAAGGTGTTGGTTAAGTAGAAAATCCTCACTATTATATTTTAAAAGCCCTCGCTGGAACTTTTCCAAAATAAAATCAAATCTGGTATTGGTTGTCTTGTAGTCTGTGAAATAATGGAATTGGAACACTGATGAACACACACCCGGCATGTCACTCAATTTTTACTGAAATATTAAAACATTTAAAATAAAATGTATACATTCAGTTTGGTGAAACATAATACATGATGAAGTGGTTCAACTTTATTCTGAAATCCAAACTCATTTCTGTAACAGCAAGTTTGTCAGCTACATAAATAACTTTGTTTTTTTCTAAATTTCTGTATAACCTTGCTCAGTCTAAAATGTCTAAAACTCTAACATGTTGTATGTGTTTCTGCATGCATGGCGTCCTGCTCAGGTCTACTGTGAGATGCTTTCAGATGGTGGCTGGACTGTGCTTCAGAGACGTAGTGGAGGAGAGGTGTCCTTCCAAAGAAATTGGGATGCATATAAGAATGGATTTGGAAACCTGACACGTACGTAAATAACTTGTTCATGGCTGAAAATCTTTGAAACAAAGAAAATTTAAAAGACAATGTAATTTGTTCCTTAAAAGTAAATTGACTCTCACTGATTAAAAAAAGTTAAGCCACCAGACAAATGCATATGGATGAAATGAAACTGCACATGACTAAAGGTCATATTCTTGTTTAGCAATTATAACAATATCAGGTTAAATGAAAAAAAGAGTTGGTTGGCAGCAGGGTCACAGCTGGACCAATGTCAGAAACATGTGGTACCTCCTCAGGCGAGGTGCAAGTGGCAATTTTGGGTGCCACAAAGTTGTTGTGTCCTCTCATGTACAGACTAGTCCTCAAGATCTAGCAGAGTAGCAGTGTCAGAGGTGATGCCCAAGCTGAGCCCACACACATATGATTAGGGGAAACTCAAAAGATCTCAGCATGACTCAGGCAGTCTATAGAGATATATACCATGTGTAGACGATCATTGTCTTGTTGAAAGACTGTGCAAGGGTCTCAGGATGGAAGTCGAAGATGCCTCTGACATAATGTTGTGTTAAGGTAACCTGAATAACATCTAAAGGTGACCCAAAGTCACGGTGATGCAGTTGGTAGAGATGCCGCCTCTCAGCAAGAAGGTCACCAGACCAAATCCTGTATGTGGGGTGATTCTGTGTGGCGTTTGCATGGTCTTTCCATGCATGTGTGGGTTTTCTCCAGGTACTCCAGTTTCCTCCCACAGATCAAAAACATGCTGATTGGTAACTCTAAATTGTCCCTAGGTGAGAGTGAGAAAGTGCATTTTTTTTGTCTCATTTGTCTCTACGTGTCCCTGTGATGGACTGGAGACCTATCCAGGGTGTCCACCACCTCTCGCACAGTGATGGCTGGACATGGGCACCAGTGACCCCCATGACCCAAAAAGGAAGAAACAGGTAAAGGATAATGAATGGATGGCTATATGGTGACCCAAAGTCAGACTCTATGACTCCTCAGACCATGATGCCATGAGTAACACTGGTTAATTTCTTTACAACATTGGCATGATTGGTTCTCTCTGCAGACATATAAGCTGCCATATGCCTAAACCATTAATTTTTGGACCCGAAGAAGCAAGTGTATGTATGTATGTATGTATGTATGTATGTATGTATGTATGTATGTATGTATGTATGTATGTATGTATGTATGTATGTATGTATGTATGTATGTATGTATGTATGTATGTATGTATGTATGTATGTATGGATGGATGGATGGATGGATGGATGGATGGATGGATGGATGGATGGATACTGTGCCACTACTAATGTTGCATAGATACCATGAACTATGTGCAGATGGCAGGCACAGATTTAATCAGGTTTGTATTGGCATACAACATGACAATCCTCCCTTCGGGGATCACTTTTTGAACACCTCAAGTTATGTGTTGTTGCCATCACATTAGTTCAAACATCAAGCCTCTGTAAGATCAGTATGAGCCACATGACTGGTGTTTGCACAATCTAACTACCTGACGTCATACAAACACAAAACTTGACCCCTTTCCAATTCTGTCAAGTAATATCCTGATGCATGCTCAATAATCCAGGTAGAAAATTCTAAAAATGTTAAATCTGGTCCTCTGGACATAAAAAAAAAACATTGTAGACCTGTATCTCAACTCTAACCACTGTTCAACTTGTGACACCATTTGTACCCTCTGGTGCCCATTCTAGCCATGTCAGCTTTTTGCAGATATAAAGATCTTATACCCAACAGTGGTCAGCCTTATGTCCAAGTTAGACCATGTCTTGTAGGTGTTAAACTCTCTTTTGTCAGTGAGTGTATATAATGGCCCAAGACTTTTGGAATACAAACTAAATGCTACTTTGAGATGTGAGAAAAATTAACCATGTAAATGTCCTTTGTATTCTATTGATTCCCTTAGAGGATCACTGGCTTGGTTTGGAGATGGTTTATACTCTGACTGATACGAGAATCAAGAAGTGGACTTTGAGAGTTGACCTGTGGGACTTTGAAAATGGCACCGCCTACGCAGAGTACCAAAACTTCAAACTGGAAAATGAGAAATCAGCTTTCAAACTACATGTTGGGAAATACAGTGGAAATGCAGGTACTCTAGCATCAGTATTACCAGTACATACATTTAATTAGCATCAAAGGATCTGTGAAGAAAGATTTAAATGGTTTGGATTCCTAGGTGTACCTGTGTCTCAGTGAAACAGGATCTAGTGCACACTTTTTGTGATAATTTAAAATAAAACAAATATTTCTTGATTCATGTTCCCTTCTACCTGTAGTGAATTTTGAAGCTACCTCTTGAAAACTCGAAACTTTGCAAATAACTCTTTTTTTTTACATTGTCCAAAGGTGATGCCATCCGTGGAACCTATTCTGGCATGGATGAAAATGGCTATGGCTTTAGCACCGTCGACCGGGACAATGATGGCTGCTCTCCATGTATCTTCGGTGACATCGCTGAATCACAGTGTGCCTTTTCAGAAGGTGGTGGTTGGTGGTACAGCAAATGTGGCTCTGCTGCTCTAAACGGGGTGTGGCATCCTTTTAATCAACACATTGGCTGGGCTTCAGGCCTCCACTGGCTCACCTGGAAACCTCCTGCACCTTATTCCGCCAAGGCCTGCAGAATGATGATCAAGTCTGGGTGAATGACTCAGAACAACAAAGATAAACCCCACTTTTTAAGATGATGTATTTGTTACTGATATGCTTGGACATATGAAGGAAAAGTGTTGGATAGAGAATGTGAAAAATTAGAATTACTCCCCTGATTTGTGCCTACTACCCCCAGATGCAATTTACCTGTATATTCATGTTTCTGATTTGTTGGGAGTTTTTCATGCGAGTTGTCAGTCAGAGGAAAAAGGATAAAGAATATGTCACAGTGAGGTTCTAGAAGGGTAGGTTTTATTTGTGAACCAGCATTATTAACAACATTATTTGACTCAGTATTTGAATGCTTTCTCCATTGGGCTGTATGTCATCTGGATTACTGTGTGACACAGTTGTAGCCATAATGTGGTAGAAAAATGTAGTGACATGACTATAGGTGCCTCAGAACACATGTAGAAAAGAACACCAGTCTATCCACTCCCTGATACCAGGATAACCTGTTCATCAAAAGATACAGCCTCCTGCTCTGATAACGCTGGTGTCCTTTTACCATTGAGAAACTGTGCATGTGTTTTCTAGCTATCTTAAATCATATGTCACTCGCCACTGGTGTTTTCTGCTTAACATTTCTTAAATGTTAAAATAAAACTCAACAAGCTGGATCTTCCTGTCTTTCTTAATATTTCTACCAACATTTGTTAGAAACTGTGTCTCAAAAGCACAATTCTTGTGTATAAAGAGGTTGGATTATGTGTAAAGTCAAATTTTCTTATTTATTCATTTTAGCTTGTTTCAGAGCTTAAAATGTTAGAATAGTATTAAAAGTAAATAGCGATTTGCTTGTACATACATTTTTAAAGAAGGTACCGTAATTGCTTGTGCCAAACTGTCAACAAACCATCAACCAGTGGATGGATTTTAACAAAACCTTCAGAAAGTAATCAATGGATGTAAATCTACAACTGATTACCCTTTGGCGTGAAACTGATTTAAGATGGCTGCCACAACTAATTGACTTTAACAAACACAAAAATGGCTCTAACTTGGCATATTTTACAGATCATAGCCTAAATGTGTAGTAGCAGCTGACGACATCAACACTTACTTTGAGCTCTAAAAGATAATGTGCTTTGTTTAAAACTTTGGGTCTGCAAGGCGACCAGCTGCGTGGACTCCTTCACGGAATGAAAGCTCTGAATATTTTTAAGATAAGATTTGGTTGCCGTTTTCAAACTGTTATATGGTAAACACAAGCTGATGTCCCCATTGCTGAGGAAAAATAAAATGTGAATATTTGTAGTTATCAAGGAGTGTCTTTCAGTACTGGAATTAAAAAACCATAAAAATGGTGAAGATATTCAAGTGGGTAGGAGATACACTGGGTAGAAGAACAGAGTTAGGTTCTTTTCTTGTCTGAGAGTGACAGATCCTAACGTGCAGTGGGCACAATTTTATCCACCACTAGGTGCAATGGTGGAACCAGGGGATGGGCAATGGTGGACTTGGCCACTAAAGAATAATATTCAACCATCTCAGCCACAAGTCAAGTCCAAGAATCTTTATTATCCCCAAGGGGCAATTTGTTTCACTGTTAGTTGGCACATAAAACATCCATCCTAGACCAGTCATTGAGACATTAAAATAATAGTACAGAAATCATCACTGTTTGTTGAGAAGCCCCGATCGATACAGGGATTAATGAGTTTTTCAGTTTGTTTGTCCTACATCTGGGCAGCAGATACCCGCGTCCAGATAGAAGGCTCAGGTTAGGTTTATTTGTCATGTGCAAAATCAAGTTCAACAATGCAATGAAATGCTTAGGACGAGAAGAACCGTCTCGACTCGCCAAAAAAAAAAAAAAAAAAAAGAAAACAACAAAAAATATTAAAGCATTCAGCAAAAACATTAAAAACATACTAAAAATACTGCTAACATACTAAAAAACATATATAAAAACACTACTAAAATACTAAAAACAAGGTGCCAAAGTTGAAGAAGAAATACATCTACAGTGTGATTCAGTTGGCAGTGAGGTTCTTTCAACATTGTGGTTCTGTTCTGTTAACGGCATGGTCTTGTTAGCAGGTCCAGTCAGCAGCTTAGTGGTAATAAGGACTGCAGTGGCTGCTCTCACAGACCGCAGTCCAGAACCGGGTCCGGCAGACAGAAAACATCCAAGGTTTCCCTGCGAAACCGAACGGGTCCTTAGAGTTTGGTCCATGCAGGCAGATGGAGGCTAGTACTAGCAGCATTAGCAGATCCTGCTAGCAGCTTGATGATTACCGACTGCAGCAGCTGCCCTCCCAGACAGTCCTCCCAGACTGTCCTCCCAGACTGTCCTCCAGAACCGGGTCCAGCAGACAGAGAACATCCAAAGTTTTTCTCGCGGAGCCGAACGGGTCTGTAGAGTATGGTCCGTGCAAGCAGATGGAGGATCATGGAGACAGCCGCCATGACAGGCCAGAGCCTAGGCCTGAGGCTAGAGGGGGGCCAGGAACTGACCCACGATGGCAGGATGGCAAGGCAGAGACACACAAAACTCCACAAGTGTGTCACAGTCATACCTGTACTGTGGGTGTGCATTGTAGGCGAAAATAAAGCTAAAATAAAAACAACAAGAATTAAAAAAAAGTTGAGTCGAAGCACATGTCAGTGCTACCATTCTGCGGTGCACGTGACAAAGCAACCTGAACTCAACAAAGAGTGGTGATCAGGATCTGCCAGAATAAGCCTGGTCTTGTTCACTGACCTCACCTTCTGTAGGTCAGTGAGGTTCTGTAGGGCCATGCCAGCAGTTCTGCTGCACATCCTGACAATCCCCGAGAGTTTGTTCCTGTTCTTACATGTCAAAAGTCCAAACCAACAGATAAAGGTGAAAGTTAGAAGAGACTCAATAAAACACAAATAAAACTTTCTCATAAAAGTCGAATCAACATTAAACCCACAGAGCTTCCAATAAAAATACATTCTCTGGTCGGCCTTCTTACAAAGTGAGTTCGCCTGGGGGTCAAAGGTCAGTTTGTCATCGAGAACAGTTCCCAGATATTTATATTGATGCACCACTTCAACAGCTTCACAGTTTATGACCACAACCATCCCCTTTCACACACACTGTGCGTGCATGTGTGTATGTGTTTGTTTGTATATGTATGTACATATTTTCACATGGCAACCCAATTTTCAATGGTGATCTTTCTCATGCTCAGGTGCAGCCACACCCCAAAATGTAAGATGGCACATTGCCAGCCATTGCTGACCCAATCATTTAATGAAAATATACTTTTAAACAAAAATAAAAGCTAGAAAGCATAGTTCTCTTATATGACACACCAAGTCAGTAGTCAGTATGTTGCTTATTTTTTCAAACTGTTTTAGTTCACAAGATGAATGGACCCCCCCTCAATTCTCCTCTTGACAACAAAAAACTGCTTAAGAATTTTGGACTGCAGTGTTTCAATATGACAAATCAAGAAAACAGTTCCCTTAAATATTTTTTGCTTACAGCCTTGTGCTGTATGTTTTCTTTAAGGATGTGATGTATCCAAAATCAAATACATCAAAACCTTAAAAAAAAAGAAAATCAAGACTGAATCTGGACCAAACCATGATGTTTATGTGATAGATGCAGTACTCAAAAAACAACATTCCTTCTTTTGTATCGAGAAAAAACTGGATTACCCTGCCTTACCTGTACGGTAAAGCTTTATGTTGTTTTTGTCTTTGTTGCAGGCATACTAATTATCTTTTTACAAAACAATAAATACTGTAATTACAGTGCTTTAAAGTATAATCAAGTAACTATTCTTTAATTTTGTGCACATTGTTCCAACTTATTAGGATAAAAACTTGTTACTGGCTTACTTTTTGGTGATCCACTGTAAAACTTAACATGTGGCTAACCTAAAATTAATTAGGTCTAATTTAAAATATCTGCTCTTTCAAATAGAATATATTGAATAATGGAACTGAAACCACCTTAACTTCAACCAAAAATATATATATGGAAATAATGTATTGCCTTTTTGTTTTGCTTCAATTCTAGATCTAATTATTAGAAACATTTCTTGTTTTTAATTCTGTTTGTTAGTTTTGTGCTATTTAACAAATTTATATTAATCTATAAGTTAATCAAACCTTTTGTTTGACAAATAACTTTTACAATGGTGATTTCAGTTCAAACTGAAAGACAAACTGATAGGCTATTATTTATTTCATTAAATTCTATGGATTGTTCAAGTTTTATTTTAGACAGCTTATATTCTAGCAAAAAGTTTCAAACATCAGATGCACCAACAGTACAACTGATGTTCAGACGTTGCTTATCTAATCCAGTCCTTATATAAAGATTTACAAGGTATCACATGACAATGGAATAAACAAAAATAGAATTGCTACATTTACCAATAGTTACCTTTGACACCCTGCCTTAAGGGTTGTCAGTCTTGTTTTTGAACTTCTGGTATCCAAAGAATTGACCCATCTCTTGCTCTTGGGTCATTAAGGAATCTTCCGGCCCTCTGGTAAAGAATGAAACCAACCCTTAATTCTCTTCATTTTAGAAAAGGTTAGAGAGGACATGGACATAGGTGGAGTGAGGAAAGAGTGAGATGGAGTACAAAGGTCTTGGTTATTGAGTTCATACTGGGTTTAAACGGTTAACATAGAATAACATCTTTATTACATTAGTGTCAATTTAGGAAGTTTGTGAGCTGAGACAGTATTTGTAAAATGATGTCTGTTCATTCCCATGGGAATAGATAAATCTTATTTTAACAGTTTCAAAGATATGAGGTGAACTCTTTCTGAGGTGAGGTGCTCCCCTACAGCTGTGTCAAGACTTTGATCAATTTGTTCCATAATTACGTTTGTATATAAAAGTCAATAAAAATGCAGGTGTACACGACCAGCAGTCGTGTTAAATGCCAACCTTGAATGCCGGGAAACAACACAAATGTATTTGGAATGAGGTGCCTGATTTTACACATGAGATTTAATGACTGTAAAAAGGTTAATTATTATATTTGACATACTTATAAACAGTATATTTTTTATTAACATATAGGCAATAAACAACTGAAAAGTGGATTACATTTGAAATACTACAAAATTTGTTCAGTTTTCACATTGGTAGGCTTTTACAACAATTCATGCCTTTACATTTTGGATCAGCGCTGGAAAGGTACGTGAACAGTTGCTAAAGTTGTTTGACATAGTTAGTGGGGATACTGGGAGGTCCGTTTAGATAAACGCTGTTCAGATGCTTTTCCAGTTTGACCTGACAGAAGTGATTGAGCAAGAGGTGTGGGAGTTTAGCTAGGGATTAAAAAAAGGGCTCTTCTGTCTAGGAGCTTAAACTACTTTACTAAATTAATCCAACGTAGGTTTGTGTTTGAAGAAACCATTTTGACTTGTAATTTATTTACTCCATGTAAGAGCAAATGTTTTATTTTTAGCTTTCATACTTCAGCAAGTCACCTTATAAGACCCAAAATGTAGACAATATTATAGGTTTCAATTAGCAGTTACTGAGGAAAATTATTTTTTGGGGCGTTTATTTATTTAAAAATGTTTAAATGACTAATGTAATGAATGTGTTGCTCTCAAACTCAAGTCAAAATGAAGGGTCTGACTGGATATTATGGTTTCATATTGCAG